TCTTTCTGCTGGGGTTAAGTGAAGATGTTTCACTAATTTGGGAATGAAATTGACTGTGATAGCGTCTTCCAGAGGGGTCCGATATCAGGGATAGTGCGCATCAGGTAGTTTCAGTGGTGCTTGACTCCGTGAGTGAATGCCACAAAAGCCGCATGTGGCTCTGTGTTAGCAATATCAGACAGAGCTTGGATTTCTCTGACCCACTCATTCACATTTCCCGTTACGTACTCGGTCTTGAAGTCCGTCGTGCCGATTACTGTGCCTAGGTGTTTTGGGCTGCCCTGTGTTATTTTGACTTCACTTCCACCGAACATCTCCATTGCCCGTTCATAATGTTCTGACTAGCATTGGGGTGGTACCCTATTTGTGGACCGTATGATGTTATCATATCCCACCACTTTTTGAAGTCCTCCACTTTTCCTGCTCCTGTAAGGTCGTCAGCATACGCCACTTGCTTGACTTCGGTTGTTTCAAATTTGATTGTGTGTTGGAGCACAGATAGGCCTATTGCATACATTGCCATTGCAACAGGGTCCCCCTGCGTTGTTCCCTCAGTTAACTGTATGATGGTATCACCTCTTAGAGCCTTGATGTTTACTATATAAAGGTCTGATGGATTCCTATAGGTGTTTTCAACATACTGTACATTGCAAAGCTTGGACACTTGATCTTGATGTTGTGTATTAGCCCCTTAGTTCTTATATAAATGTCAGGGCGGTACATTGGGTTTATATAATCATATCACCCCCTGTAACTTTCCACTGGCTATGAGGTGACATGGTCACATCACGTGATGGGTAAGTTCCTTGAGGCGCGGCCCTAAGACTGTTAGGTCAGCATAAAAAAGCCGGCTGCTTTGGCATTCTCACTCAACCCCACACACCAACAGGACGTATTTTAGAAGAGCTATTTAATACAGCCTCCATCCTCATTTTAATACTCATAGCTACAGTGATTAAGTTACGGTGATATACACTGGAACTGTATATAATATATTTTCTTAATAAATACAGAAAGGACAGTTGGGTTTCGCTACTCAAGCCCTATATACTTTTACATGTTCCAGCCCCATTAACCCAGCAAGAATCAACGGCTAAAGGGCCAGTTCACAGTGTAGCCTTGAGATTAAGTATGTTGAATGCGTTGGAAGCGTCAACCAGGAGAACTGCCTCACAATCACGCTGTTCAAATATCGTTCTCATGGCGTGTATGGCAGCTTCCCCACCAGCCTGGTGGCCAGCACAAACTTGCAGTTTCCCTGCCGCTACCCCGACATCATCCTTTACCACCTCCAGTATGCATTTTCCAATGATCCGCCACAGCATTTACCCAACTCCTATAGGCCTATATCCTGGATTTTTATCCAGGGGTATGAGGCGGCAGGCTGTCAGAGCATGGAGGTGGTGGCAGCACGAGGTTGCTAGCTTTCTTGCTTATGTCGTGATGGCATTGCAGAGACCACTTGCTACGGCACCAAACTTGTTAGTGCTGAGGATGACTCTCCAACCGCTTGCATCTAGACCTGAAGGGCCAACTCCTCCCTGAGTTTTCAGTGCTTTTTTCCACACCATCCCTCCTGTTATTTTCTCGAACAGGACAGCATTTGGAAGGATATAGGCACCCTGGAACCTGATGCCTTCCTCTACACTTGCAGGGGGATGGTTTTCCTTCATTTGTTGTAATTTTACTCTGTTTATTGGCAGAACACCACCTTCAAATTCCTCTGTGAGTGACCTTACCGCCAAGGACACTTTTCCTTCACGTATCTTGTTACCAAATTTTCTGGCAACATCCTCGGTGTTTTGCCCTCAGTCTCCTATGAATTTTAGGCTCTCCTGCAGTGTTCTTGCTTTGCGTAGGAGATCATCAAGTGCCCCTTTCTGCCACATTGTCAATCTCCTTTAATTGCTGCCACGTTTTCTTTGAACTTAGACCTTGCGTGTGTCCTCTGACAGAATAGATGGGATATTATGGAAAGTATTTGAAGAGCTAATAGGGCCAGGGGGCTGTCATGAGTGTACAGGTAATTGATTATGAGGCAAGTCATCTCCTGGATCATTTCTTTGGTGGCCGCACACTTGGGTGGTTCAAAGAGGTTAGCTGGCGACCACCTGACCACTTTTGAGTGCACTTCTTTGACCCATTTCACCGCGTCATCCCCCGACATGCCTTTCCAATTTGTTGACTGTATGTCATTCATCTCATGAACAGTATTTTCTGACTGTGTGGGTTCACTATTATCGTCTGACATGTCGTCATCGGGTGATGGATCTCTGCGGTATGGATTTTGACCGCTAGACCCTTTCCTACAACCCACACAGTGTGTGTTACTTCTCACATTTCTGATTCCAGCCTGAGCACTGACAAGCACATTTCCCAGCCATGATGTCGTCCTGGGAAGGAGAGGGCAGTGGAAGAGGTAGGAAGTTGTGGTTTGGGAGGGAAGGAGAGGCAGGTCAATTTTGGTGTACTGACCGGCGAGGTGGGGCGGAGCGAGGAGGGGCCGCGGCGGGGCGGGGCGAGGCGGGGTCGGGGCGGGGCGGGGCATGCCCAGGGCAGAGAATGGCTGGGCACAGAGCGACCAGGACCGTTACCACCTATGACCGGCTCGGGTTACAATCCAAGGCCTACTACTTCTTCTTTTTCTTTATAATGGCCTCCATCATCCTCTAATAGCCATACCTTTGCCGCCATTTTGTTACCTTAAAATTAAATATCCTAATACATAAGTAGCTATCCTAGCTGTGTTGAGCTAGTTGAGCTGCAGATCTATGCGCCATTCAGTGACTGTTGCCTCATAGTCAATATCTGCAACTGTTGTCGGTTTTGGGGGCCGATGCCCTCGTTCTCCTGAGGCAGAGCAAAGCCGACCTAAGGAGAGAGAAGAACAGTCGACATCTCATCCAGGCTGTAACATAACTTCTGGGCTGCTGCTTCTGTTCGGATAGCACCTCCGCGAGTCTGGCGTAGAAGCATCTTGCACTTGGTCCCATCCCACCAGAGGTTGTGAAAACTACAGGAGTGAAGCTGCCTTGATCAACGTTCTGAATTCTCTCCCGTATGCCCTTATCTTGTCGTTCTCGTTCCTCCTGTGCGTAACATCGAGAGCTAAGTTACGGTGACATGCAGCCATAGGATAAAATATCCTGATGTTGAAGAAGGCTCGTTGTTCCCGCAACCAGAATCCTCGAGCACTGACATCAACAAAGGGTTTCGTTGGATGTGTTTGAAGTCCTATGTTGGAAATTCTCACCGTCCAATGGAAGGAGGGTCGGCTCTACCCTGACATTACGGCAGATTTACTTCAACATATTTGCTGTGAGATCCCTTACTTTGTCATGCCTCATGCATATGAAGCCCTCTTTCTTGCACACCATGGCGTGATCGACGTCATAGGAAGAGACACACACGCATTAGGAGGGCAAACCTTCTACTGGCCTACCGTACTTAGAGCATTGGCATCTGTAAATTCTTGTTTATTGAGAGTGAAATTATTTGCCCTTATTGGTAACATAGTTAACCAGTTCGAGGCGCCAACCTCCTGCTCTATAGCTACTTTTTTGTTTTCAAATTCTCTGGTACTTGCAGCAACAGTTGCTGCAACTTATCACTCTGGCCGTGCTGTCGTTCTGTCGTAATGGACCTTCGGATCTTGTTTACCTCACTGGTATCCACCTCCCCTGTTGCGTTCTGAGCTATTATGTGGTCCGTGAGGGCTGCCGTGAGCTTAACTGAGTTTTGATGTTCGGTGGTAGCAATCTCCTCTGGATTGGTCAATCCCATTCCTCCCAGTCTCGGTGGTAGTGCAAGAAGTGATCTTTCTGCTGGGGTTAAGTGAGAGTGTTTCACTAATTTGGGAATGAACTTGACACTAATAGCTTCTTCCAGGGGTGGAGGAGGGGTCCGATATCAGGGATAGTGCGCATCAGGTAGTTCCAGCGATGCTTGACTCCATGGGTGAATGCCGCAAAAGCCGCATGTGGCTCTGTGTTAGCAATCACAGACAGAGCTTGGGTTTTCCTAACCCACTCATTCACCTTTCCTATCACTTACTCGGTCTTGAAGTCCGTCATGCCGATTATTGGGAGCAATAATTGTCACACCTAACACTTGTTTCTATATCCTTCGCAGAAATAACCACTATTTCTATGGTCGCACTGATATAATATTAGTTATATATACTCACTTGGTCGGCCGTCACTACATGAAGTGACGGTTACTTGGGGTGGCGACCACAAGCGAAAAACACTTGACCCCATAGGGGCGAGAGTCTCGATGCCACCCCTGCCTAAGTAGGCCTATCGACATTGGCACTGGCACCTGGCACCTGCACTAGCCGTCCCACCAAATACTCACAACTCGCTTGGTGATCGCCGGTGAACACACGGAATATTTGCGATTAATGCCGTAATGGATGCGAAGAACCTTCGGTGACAATGCTTAGGGTGACATCCGATATTCACCGACACTCTGTGAAATTCCCGCTCCCACACTCCGAATATGTCCCCTCCAATAACACTTTAGATCAGGGAGGACACTCCACCACACCCACGCCGAGCTACTACTACAACTATTACTACTACTTTGCTGTCACTCGGAGGTGACTCAAGAGGTCGATACAACACAGGCAGGGCCGTCCACAGATATTGCACGTATGGAGGGCTACATCTAGTGCTGGAGAGGCAGCGGCAGCATCTTTCCTGCGCCGGCGCTTGTCTGCCTCGGTATGCAGTCGGGCTAACTCAAAAGTGTTGACGCCTTCTCATGTGGTGGTCCCCAAGCGTTAAGGTGTAGAGTGGTCGTTTGCTAGTTGAGGGGGTCAATGTTGGCACTTTTCCAGGTTTCCTTATTCCTTTTCCAAACTAAATCGCGGCTAACCCATGCATGCTTGGAAAATGGCCGTGAGACCTTAATGATGATCATGATGATGATGATGATAATGATGATGATATGGAACTCTAGTGCTCATATTATAAGTGGTGTGTCACTCTATCTCTTACCTTAAAACAAGATTGATACATCTCTTCCCAGCCATCATCATAATCGCAGGGTGGCGGGATGGCTGAGGGAAAAGTGGAAACAGACATTACTGTTACATAGTTAAGAACCACTTGTACAGTACAGTCGGTATATAATATATATATATATATATATATATATATATATATATATATATATATATATATATATATATATATATATATATATATATATATATATATATATATATATATATATATATATATATTTCTGCTGATAACCACAAGGGAAGAAGACAACACGAAGTTCCCGAGCCCTTTCGTGTAATTCACATCTTCAGGGGTGAGTACAGACTAAAGAGAAGTACAAAACAAGGTGTATATATACAGAGGAGAGTGAGACCAGGTCCATAATGGTCAGGTATTGGGTAATGACCCTACTAATCTTTAAATAGCACACAACGGTTGGTGGTCAGGTCAGATGGTAAGGTGACCCGCCCTTCTCACCTGGTTAAAAATCTTATTAATTACAAAATTGTCCAGCTTGTACATGCCGTTACTCAAATTCATGTTGAATGTTTCGGTATGTTTAATAAGACTAGATTCTATGATGTTCCTACTATCAATTGAATTACAAGGTAATATTGAGGAGGCATTATCCCAGTCAATGCGATGCTTGTTATCCCTCAAATGAACAAACAGAGCATTGGATTCCTGGCCTGTCCTAACACTATATTTGTGTTGTTTAATTCTAGTTGCAAGATCTTTACCTGTCTGGCCTAAGGAAAACATATTACATTCCTTGCAAGGAACTTTATAAATGCAACCAATTGTGTTGTTGGGGGAGTTCTTGATTAACATTTGTTTAACAGTGCATGAGTTTTTAAATGCCACATTGACGTTCCAGGTTTTTAATTGTGAAGGAATGTGTGAGAAATTTTTGTGAAATGGTAATATTAAGATATTCTTATGGTCATGGGTGGGCTTGGGATCAGTTCTATAAAAAGTTTTCTTAGTATTGTTTAGGCATTTGTCTATGCAAGATTTAGGGTATTTAAGGTTTGAGCCAATATTATAGATATATTTGTATTCATCATCAATGAATTCCGGACTGCAAATTCTTAAAGCACGTAAAAACATTGTTGAAAATACTGACTGTTTGACTCTATTATGGTGGGCAGAATAATAATGAATGTATGAACACACATTAGTTGGTTTTCTATAAATACTGAACTTAAAAGTGTTACCTATTCTATGTATCAGACAGTCTAAGAATGGCAATTTACAGTCTTGCTCTAATTCCATAGTCAATTTGATCGAGGGGGCTAAGTTGTTAAGTTGTGGCAGGAAAGCTTTTAGGTCCTCATTACATGGCCAGAGACATAATACATCATCAACATATCTAAACCAGACTGCTGAAGGTGGTAAAATATTACTTAATAGTTTCTTTTCAAAGAATTCCATATATAGGTTGCTTAATACAGGTGAGAGTGGATTACCCATTGCCATACCAAATTTTTGAGCATAATGTTCTCCACTGAATTCAAATTTACAATCCTTAATACAAAGTTTGATGAGTTCGATAAGGTCGTCTTTCGAGACGGGCAATGAAATATTGTCCAGGGAATCTATGAGGAACTCTAGTAAATCATCAACTGGGACCTTTGTAAAGAGTGATGTTACATCAAAACTGACCAGTTTAAAATCATAATTAATGTGTAAGTTATTGAGTTTATCAACCAAATCCATATTATTCTTGATATTAGAGTTAGAAATGTTGCCAACTAGGGGATTTAGTAAAGAAACTAACCATTTAGATAGTTTATAGGAGATTGACCCAACTGAGCTAATGATGGGTCTTGCTGGGTTATTAGGCTTGTGGGTCTTGATTACACCGTACATGTAAGGCAGTGGAGGGGACGTTGAAGTAAGATGTTTAATGAGAGTAGCTTTGCCTCTCAATAGAGACTTCAGTTTTTTGTTGAACTGGGTGTTGACAGTGTTGCAAAAATTTCAAGAAAAATACTTGAAATGCATAGAAAAAGACACATGAGATACTTGGTCATGTAATTGGTGATGAAGGGATACTAACAGAATTATTACTGGGCAAAGTTGATGGTAGGAGGGCCGGGGGAAGCCAGAGACTAGGATGAATGAATGAAATTAAAAACTGGGGTCCCCAAATAGATACAAAACCTTGGAGGATTATTAAAAACAGCCCGAGAACGTTTAGAGTGGCGGACTGTGGTCGTCAACCCTCAGATATGAGGAGGGTACCACCTGATTGATTGACTTTAATTTAGGTTAAAAACAAAATGTACACATACCATACTTATTTTAATCATCCCTTTTCCTTTCTAATGGTTTTCTCCTATACACAATATTTATGATATGGCAGCTGATCTCCAAATAGAATACGAGAATTCTTCTAGCGTGTTGCACATATGCATACATATTATTCATCACTATAATTACATAGCACATGAATTTATTGACTGTACCTCTCATGATGTAGTTAGGAGGAACTTGTGCTTTACAAAGAAAACCTCAACGTTGCGTGAACATTTTCCTGATTATTGGAGGGAAAAAATGATAAAGGAAAAATGAAACCTCTCAGAAGAAACACTTAAAAGAGTTAGTAAAACTATATATAGCAGAAATTAATAAATGTCTTTTATCTCCAGGAAGTCAAATTATCGAAATGGGTAGAATCTTTTAAAAAAATTTAAATGGTGACTGAAATCTAATCTAAGAGCTTTAAAACAGTAGGAATATGACCTTTAAATCTGTAACCTTAATGTTTTACTTAATTAAGTATACCAGATACTGTACTGTAAATGACACAACATGTTTGTCTGGTTCGCAAAAATTTTCGTGGGCTACTACACACTTTTCGATACGCATAGAGAAACCAGCACAGAAAATGTTAATCATTATCATTTTACCATCATGTCAAAATAGTATTATAGCGTAAACAAGTAAATAAATAGTTGGCTATCTGCAATACACTGCCGCTAACACGAATAACCCATAATACTCACTGATGTTCCGGTGACAAATAAACTTAAGTTCTTGAGAGCAGTTCTGCTTGATGAGCCTCGAGTCGACGGTGAAGGCGGCGCAGTTTCCAGTCCCTGTACCCATAAACGGCCTGGTCCACCCAACGAAACCAGACAGTCACCATCATATCCAGCACCAAGCAAGGAGTAAAGCAGGAAATCAAACACATAAATATACTATGGTAGATTTAGAAGAACAATTACTGTGTTAAGAAATGGAAAAATTTGGTGAGTGCAAATCGAATACTTCTTGAGGTAATCACTTGGATATTACTATACACTATACAGTATTATAACTGTCATAGAATATATGCGAGTACAGCGGCGAGGACACAAACGTAGGATACTACATAAGAACACAAACTCATTCATACTGATGACACCAGGCGACCAGTAATATACTGTATTTGTTGACAGCACGCATAGAACCTTCCTTGATCATCCAGGCTGTCCATAACACCGATGCAAGCTTGGTGCTACAGACTAGTGTGATCCTGAGGGGGCGAGGCTTGTCCCCCTACTTTTGTCCCAGCCTCCTCACAACCTGAGGGGTTGATGGCATATTCAGAACCTCTGTACAAATATTCTTAAACTGCATCTTATCGTGTTATCCTACTCACAGTTGCCCCCGCTTGGCTCTCAGGGACTCCAGAAACTATTACATTGTTCCTTCGCTGGAAACGTTCCCGTTGTTCCTCCTCTCCCCTAACAGTAGGTCCGCCAATTGCCATTTCTTCGACTTATTTCTTCAGAGTCCATAGCTGTTGTAGAACCTGTTCTGATCCTGTATTACTCCGCCACCTCCCGTGGCCCTGTTAAAGACTGAGCATGACTCCTCTTTGCTACCACCTCCATTCTATCGGCTACTTCCTCAGTCTTAACAAGGATCTCTTTCCCAACGTGTTCAAGTTTGGCAATCAGCAAGGATCCAGCTTCATCTATTTTCGTCCTTCGGGAACTCGGTCACCTGTGACTTGCAATCGCCTCTTTCACCTTGACTATGCAGTCAGGGTGATACCAGCAACAGCCTTCATGCATTACGGAAACTCGTATCGTCCTAAACTCTGTATTGGTCAGGTTTGTACCATCTACACCCGTCGTCACCCTGCAGTAATCACATGTCAACAGATTTTCTGGTGCCGCTTCAGCCCCAGGTTTCATACCCTTCATGGTTCTTGAAGAATTAGAGAACACATGTCTCTTAATATAAATGGCTTTACCCATGGTAAAGGTGTACGTACATAATTGCATCACCACATTCCTTACTGTGCATGGGGATGAAAAGCACAGATGCACCACATTTCTTGACGTTAAAAGCTGCATTTGATATTGCCAATAGGCAACTGATTTTGTATGAACTAGCCAAAATGGATTTAGGAGGTCGGCTGTTACACTGGATAAGTGATAACCTAACCAACAGAAGGGCTGCTGCACTATTTCAGGGCTACAAAAGTGAAGTTGATTTTTATCCGTTATCATTTTAAAGATATGTAACTTGGCACCCCTCAAAGTGGAGTACTTAGTCTACTGTGTTCAATGTTCTTATGAATGCTATATTAAATTTAATACCAGACAACCCCAGGAATTCCACAATCAGCAATGCTGATGATATTCTTATTTATACTAAAACTTATTGTGAAATGCAAACCACCCTAAACCATGTGAGAACCTCGGTCTTATTATCTCCACTGAGAAAACTAAGGTGTTCAACACGCGGCCCGACAAGTTCAAGATAGGTAACAACACTATTGACTATATCTCTTCCTTTAATAATATCTTGGTGTCTCCGTCCCTTGTACCTTACCTGCCATACAAAAAGTTCCAGGCTACTGGTCTGACTTTCTGCCTCATTTGCATACAATTGTAGGGTTTCAATTGTTTCTCTTATTATGACAACACAACATACATATATCGTTTCTCACTATTAATCTTTTTTATTATTATTATTATTATCATTATTATTATTATTATTATTATTATTATTACTATTATTATTATTATTATTATTATTATTATTATTATTATTATTATTATTATTATTATTATTATTATTATTATTATTATTATTATTATTATTATTATTATTATTATTATTATGATTTCGCCCCCAGGCCCTGATGTGGGTCATTGACCTGTGCCCTGGTGGGCTAATCATGTAAAAAAATATATATAAAAAAGTACAACAGCTAACCCGTCACTGTACTGACAGACTGAAACCTCTTAGAAGAGTAGCTGAGTACAGCCCACATTATGGAGCTAATATTAGAATTGTTAAAACAATGTACCTAGGCTATATAAGATCTCTGATAGATTACCACGCACCAGCCCTGGTCCTTCGTGATGGGAAAGTTATTGACAAGCTCGAAAAAATGCAAAATAAAGCCCTCAGAATTATCCTAGGATGCCCCATGAGCACTTAAGGAAAGGTCTAGTTATACCCATTGTCAAAGATAGAATAATTGAAGTCAACCTCATGATAGCCCTGAGGCTTTTGCGTAGTGATCCTGATAACATTGTTTCCTTAAAATTGCTAGGATGCATGAACCATGGTACTGGTGAATCTAAATGGAGCCAAACTACAGCTACACGTATGAAGATGTTTGGACTAGACCATCTGTACAAAGTTGAGACGCAATAGCACTTCTTTTCACCCTGACGGACAGTTCCCTTTAATATCACAATACCGACATATTAGCCTAAAAAAATAATTATACAAATTATTTATCCTTAACACCCTGCCAAAGTGAGAGCTCTTGAACACATACACACCCTACAGACTAGGGAGTGACAGTTTGGCAAAAGTTTTCAAAATCTAATTGCTTGGGTTGGATTATTTGTCTATCGGCCACGCTAATTCCGAATATGTTTGAGTTTTTTACATCATTGCATTAGAAGGTTTGTGGATACTTTTGGGTTTGGCATGAAAAACGCGAAAAAACTGTAAATAATAAAGGGATTGGCAATGTGGCACAACCTGTTAAAATCAAGTTATTGAATTGGATTATTCGACTACTGTGTACACTGGTTCATAATATGCTATTGTTTTACAACTCAATGCGCTACAAATTATGCCGATATTTTTGCTGCAAGTCACCACATACGTATATTTCGAAAACCAGGGCCCAATATTACCAACGGCGTGGATAGATTCCGTGGAATGAATTCAGGACATTCCCGCTCATGGAACATTACCAAACTCCGTATATGTGCCAATGGCAGGCCAATGGCAATATTTACAGAGTTTGTTGAGGCTCCCTGGACGGGAATGCCCTGAATTTATTCCACGGAATCTATTCACGCCGTTGGTAATATTCGTCCCAGGACTGATCAACGAATTCAGCCCAAGTAGCTTGACTTGGACAGTTAAGGACAAAATCTCAGTCCGTACTTTTGAATAAAATATTGTTCAATAGGTGGTGATATTGAAGTGCTGAAAGTTGTTTTTTCTGTGTTGTTTTGCAGTTAGTTCAAAGGGCCGCCACCAAGATGGGTCGTCCTAAGATTAGCAACACTCAGCTGCGCCAGGGTAACGATAAGGTGTTCGGGGTTCGGATGCCTCTGCCATCTAACAAGTTGCCTCTGAACAAGGAAGTTGGAAGTGCCCTGGCTTATGAAGCAGAAAACGAGAGGTTAAGGAGAAGAACAAATGCTTTTGATTATATGGATGCCACCAACAAGGTGACTGAGAAGGTACTGGATGTGTATAGGAAGGCCACTGTCCCCACTATCTCTGAAATCAGGGTGAAAATGAGAGTCCACGACCTGTGGAGGATGCGGAGGGAGACGATGATGATGAAGGGAAATGGACAGAAACAGAAAAGGAAGAAAACGAAGAACGGGAAGCTGAAGATGAGGTTCGAGGATATAGCTGAGAAGTTGTTTGATGTGGCAGACGACAGCAAAGTGCACGAACGAGAGAAAAGCTTCCTGGCAGCCCAGAGGAAACCGGGAAGGGAGGGCTGCATTGATGGCGTTGACAAAATTGTGACTGCCAAGCTGAAAGAAGAGAGGGAGAAGGAAGCGAAGAGGGCAAAGAAAGGGCTGAGGAAGAGAGGAAAACTGAGAAGATGAGGTCAAAGAGTAAGGAGGAGATGGAGAGGATGTCGTGTAAAGTGTCGGCAGTGGATGACAGTGCTCAGGAAGAAGATAGTGATTATAAGGATGTCAATGACAATGAGTTCAAGGCTATGGTCGACAGGAGAGCAAGATCAGAGAAAAGGAAAAGGGAGAAAGAAGCCGAGGACAGGATCGGAGAAACTGCTGACAGGTTCAAGGTATCCAATGATGCAGTGGCTCACATCGCAAACACCATCAGAGCTGCAGACAACATCATAACTGAAGGGGACAAGTCTAAAGTGACTAACTGGAAGAAAGTGGAGAGAGTCAGGAAGAGGTCACGAGAACAGAAAAAAGAAAAGTTCAGGGGATTCAAGGTCAGAGGTCTCATGGTAGATGAGAGGATCAATGAGAACAAGATAGTGACTGGTGTAGGTGAGAAGAACCACAAGAGATTCGCCATGGAAAAGAGGGAAGACTGTGCAGTGATCGGCTTCCATGTTCCATGAGCGGGAATGTCCTGAATTCATTCCACGGAATCTATCCACGCCGTTGGTAATATTGGGCCCTGGTTTTCGAAATATACGTATGTGGTGACTTGCAGCAAAAATATCGGCATAATTTGTAGCGCATTGAGTTGTAAAACAATAGCATATTATGAACCAGTGTACACAGTAGTCGAATAATCCAATTCAATAACTTGATTTTAACAGGTTGTGCTACATTGCCAGTCCCTTTATTATTTACAGTTTTTTCGCGTTTTCATGCCAAACCCAAAAGTATCCACAAACCTTTTAATGCAATGATGTAAAAAACTCAAACATATTCGGAATTAGCGTGGCCGATAGACAAATAATCCAACCCAAGCAATTAGATTTTGAAAACTTTTGCCAAACTGTCACTCCCTACTACAGACTGATGATAATATCACACAGACCATCTACACTGATGGATTTCTTAACACCGCCCGTGGGAGGGCTGGAAGTGCTAACGTTGTGACTCAACCTAACGGTAATACAATTGAAAAAGGAGTTAG